CCAGCCTGGCACAGCTAAACAATAATGGCAACTACAACCAACAAAACAAAACAAAACAAATAGTCAGGCATTGTGGCAGGCACCTGTAGTCCCAGCCACATGGGAGGCTGAGGCAACAGAATCGCTTAAGCCCAAGAATTTGAGGGTGCTGTGAGGCCATGGCACTCTACCAAGGGCAACATAGTGAGACTCTGTCTTAAAAAATTGTTAAACATCACTAATGAAATAACTTAGGAAAGATGGTCATAGCACAATAAGTATATTCTTTTTCTTTACTTAAGTGTGCCCCCAGAAGTTTAACTATAGGTTCAATTGTGCTATATTATAAAAAAGGTTAAAAATCACTGGCCCAATTGCCCAATGTTATTGTCTGTCATGAAGTATACTCCTCAGGTGAGATAAAGGATGTTTGTAGAAATACTGTGACTTAATTACAGCACGAAAAACTATTAAGTTCAAACTGGGGTAGTATGATGTACCCAGAATAAAACAGTTGCAAATTACAGTGCCAAGAGATAAATGTGAATGGCCTCAAGTTCATGTTCTACAGGTAGTTTTAACAAAATTGTCTTTTCAGATAGAATTTTTCTCTCTTTAGCTTGAAGACTACTTTTTAAATCAATAAATAACACCTATTGCCATTAAATGCAGAAGGGGACCACTAGTATTCCTGTGGTATTTCTACAGTCTTTATTAGGCCTTAAGAACGTATTACTGAGGCCTGGCATGGTGGCTCCTCCCTGCAAACCTAGCACTCTGGGTGAGGCTGAGGTGGGTAGTTTACTTCTGCTCAGGAATTCAAGATCCCCATTAGTAAGTGTGAGACCCCCCACTCTAAAATCGGCCAGGTGTTTTAGTGGGGGCCTGTAGTCCCAGCTACTATGGAGGCTGAAGGAAGAGGAACCTTTAAGCCCAAGAGATTGATGTTGCTGTGAGTTGACACCATGGCACTCTACCCAGGGCAACAAGGTACAAGTGTGTTTCAAAAAAAATAAAACCCAAAAACAAAAAACAAAAAAAGTACAAGGTATTCAAGGTATTACTGCTTTACCATAAAATTCTTAGGGTCCAAAGATTGGGGCCTGTTCTCTTTCTCTGATTTGGTAGAACAGCTGGTTCCTATAACCCACCATACTTTCTTTAAGGAGAAGTGTGTGCTGGATGCTCTAGGCATGAAGACTGATGCCACAGTTGTACAATATTCACTGCTCACTGCCATCCTGCATAAATTAGCCAATAATTAATCTCAAAGGCAAAAATAACAACGAGAAACCAGGTTGGGAGAATTGCTAGAACCAAACTTTGAAACCTGCCTAGGGAATACAGTGAGATACTTTTTGTCAAAAACAAATTGAGAATGAGTTGGACCAAATACTCTAATCCCAGCTATATGGAAGGCAGAGAGAATGAGACAGATGGAGGCCATGAATTATGGGTAGGGGAATGGGCTATGATCACACCAGTGCACTTCACCCCTGCCTTATAGTCTTCATAAAAATAGTAACAGAAATTAATCTCCAAAAGCAGTATCCCTTGTTTACAGAAAAATGGCCCAGAAATGATTCTAAGTGATCACCCGAGGACTGTCATTCTACTGATTCTTTCCTAGACACCACAGTGAAAGGTCACTAAGGATGGCATATGAAGACATGTCAAAGTTCAGGTTGAAAGTCATAAAAAGTAAAGTAGCCTTTTCGAAGAACCTCAAATAATGAAATATTGTTTAACTTAAATATCCCTCACTATGTCAGTATGTCCTTGTATGTGTGATATGCGTCAAGTCATGCCAATCTATTTTGATTTAGAGTTATTCTACACAATGTAACATCAATTATTAAATCTGAAGAACTAGAGACTGATTGATTTCTTGTGCAAACTCTGATATTCCACAGTAATGGTGCTCGGGTATTAGTCACATGATAAACATTTCATTTGGGTAGTTTCATAAAAAATGTACCTTTGGATATGGAATGAGGAATGAGTGAGTGGTCAGGCCTGGATAAAGCCCAGCCACATACTTTGCATTTGTTTGATTTCTCTTTAGTATGGACTCC